AGCTGGGGGGGGGTTGAGTCTGCTAAATCTGCTTTGGCCGCTAGAGGTCGCGGAGAAAAGCGATGACCTGAGACCCTGAATCAGCAGACTTGTTGCTTGTTTCTGCTATCGCAGCTGGATCTTGGGTTATGTTAATGCTGAATGATCGTTACGCACATCCCTCCCCGCGGTGACCATAACAATGAATAAGGGCTGACATTTCAGAAATGTTCTTTATTATTATTATTATTATTATTATTATTATTATTATTATTATTATTATTATTATGCCGGCGAAGGGAGGGAAATAGATCTCCAGGAATAATCGAGATGTGACGTCCCGTCCCCCCCGCTTTATTCTCCAAAATCTGCTTTTCATTGGGTGGGAAACGGGCTGGGTGGGGTTCAAATCTTTTTTTTTACTGTTGCAAAACGAGCTTCGTTAATAGACTCCTCGCCTTGGAAACAATGGACAGCGCTTCCTTCTGCACACACAGCAAACAGGCTATTATTGTCACTACATTAAATCTGCAAAACGGCCCTAGATCCCTCGCGCGTCACTCCGCGCCCCCCCCTTGCTTTATTCCTCCCGATCGTACACAATGACGTGTCTGACATGTTGATAGAGATCGCAGGCTGCAGACTTCTCTCTTCTGATCTCTTGCAACGGGGGGGGGGGGGGGCTGCCTGAAGCTGTTCCTTATCAAGAGCTTTTTTATTTTTTAAAGGCTTATTTTAAAAGAAAGGAAGCGAGCGCTCCAATCCCCAACCTGCTTGCATTCCGGGCGGTGATCAAGGAATTTACGCCCCAATAAAAGGGGGGGGGGAGTTATTATTTTTTAAGGGAGACTGCAATTGCAGAGTCGAGCCACTTGCGGTAGTGTGTAGCAATTAGCCGATAAATTTGCTGACTAAAGTACTAGCTAAACCATGGATTACTGAAGTCAGGTCAGGGAAGAAAAGGCGCGGGGGGGGGGGGACCCTGCTTCAGTTTGCTGATGGGAAAAATAAATAAATTACGGGGAACGAGGGTTGCCGAACCGAGGTAATTGTTGCAGGCTGAAGCTTTGCTGCCTAATGAATGGAGTCATTATAGGGTGAGTTAACTCACCTCCATCTCTCCCCCCGCGCCGCCGCCAACACGAGAGATAAGAAATAAAACCCCAACGCCACTTATGTGCCGGCTTCATCTCTTGAAAGAACCGTGTAGGTGTTTTGGGACCCTCGCGCCGCTTCGGGCCTTTTCACACGTGACGGCAAACCCGGGTCTGCGCTTGAGGAGGGGAATGAGCAACGTAAGCCTAACGATACCGACTCAGGAGGAAGTCCTATCAAATTCAGTGGGGCTTCCTCCCAGCCGGGCGTAAATCCTATCAAATTCAGTGGGGAGAAATGGGGTTAGGATTGCAACTTCCGTGCTCTGGAGCAAGCCGGCAACTCAGCGGGAGCTGCTTCTCTCTTTGAGCGTCCAGTTTGCTGCTCTAAGAGTGCACGTGTTTGCCATATTCAGACATTACTTAAGGATGCACAAGACCTTCGTAACGTGTGAACCCTCAAATTCAAACACAAAACCCCAAAGGTCGTCTGAACGAAGCAGAACACACTTTAATCGTCCTGAATGCTGCAAGCCTTCCGTCCTCGTGGCCCCAGTTATGAGTATTATGATATTACCAGAGTGAGGCCCTGCGCTGGCGGAGAACGAGGCATCTCACTCTCTTTCACTCTTTTTCCTCCCCTCCCCTTGTTCCCCGTCAGTGTCTGGAGCCTTACATCTGCTGGGGTGATTGATGGAGCCTTGAATGCAACGTTATTACTCTCTCGCAAGCCGAAATCAAACAGGCTATTAACTACATTACTTCAAAGAACACAGTTCTCAATACAATCTACTTATCTTAATTGAAACTTTCTCTGCATGGGTATTTGTAGAGGGAGATAATTTATAGGTGCGGGGCGGCGGCGGCCGCAGGCGTTCACGATTGAGGGGGGGGGAGAGGCCATGCACCCTAAAAGTGGGGGGAGAAGAATACATATATATATTTGGGGGGGACTAGTTTCCTAAACACGGGGGGGGTGTCCTTGGGAATTTGATTAATCCTGAGATTGAAAGATTCCCACCCCCCTGTGGCCACTTGTTAACACCAGGGGGCAACTTTTCTCTCTTTTCCTCCCCCCGCCCCAATTTCTGCTAGATTTTTCTATTTTCCCTATTAAGGATGACGCAAACCTCCGGCTTCTACCTCTAAGAACAGGCCGACAATGGATTTGCAATTAGCCACAGTCACTTTCGGATTGCAACTTGCAATTTAGACTTAGAGAATTGTGGAGTTGGAGGGGAGCCCGAGAGTCATCTAGTCCAAGCCGCTGCAACGCAGGAATCTTTTGCCCAAAGTGGGATTCGAACCCGCCACCCTGAGATTAAGGTTTTCTTGCTCTACCGACTGGAAGTTGCTTCCCCTGTCGTGCAAAACGTTATTACAATGGAAAGGAGGGGTGGGGGTGGGGCAGGATGTTTAGTAAGAATAATAGTAATAATGATAATAATAAACAATACATGGATAGCTCGAGGGCTTGTTCCCTCTTGTACAATTTGAAGTTTCCTGCATATACGCCGCTCCTGCGGCACTGCTTATACAGGAAACTGACTCAGTCAATCTTCAATGCGATCTTGGCGTGTTTTTTTAATATTCTGCAATTCCAGTTCCTTAAAAAACCCCGGCTTAGATGTTTACCAGAACAATGCAGAAACTGAAGACGACCCGTGTATTAATCACGAAGAGGGGGGTGGGATTTTGAATGCTCCTGCCCGCAGGGTCACTTCCCTCGCTTACTCTAGAGTAGACCCATTGGACCCAATGGCGCTACTCTCGAGTAAGCGGATCGCTCTCTGACTTGGCGGGTTTCGAAAGGGCGGTGGGTGGAGGCGTTATTCAGCGAAACGCAATCTCGAAACGTTTACTCAGAAGTAAATCCCCGGGGTTCAATAGCGCTTACTCCCACGTAACTACTGCTCCTGGAACTGAACGTCTTCTAGGAGACTAAGACCCACTGAACTCTGCGGGATCGCATGTCCAATAAAACATGCCATGGGATCGGGCTACAAACCAGGATTGCAGACTGAGAGCCCGATCCCGTGCAGGGATATGTACGTCCGGCTCAAACCCATACGCGTGTCTCTCTAGGAAGAGGCTGTGATATCGGCTTAAACGCAAGCAATCCGGCTCAACTGCTTTGTGAATCCGGCAATTAACGTAACTGCAGCGAGTTGAGAAGGCGGCGAGGGAGGAGGAGGAGGAGGAAAAGGAATATATAAATATTGCTTTTTTTAAATCGCCTGTATTTGGCGGCGCTGTACTGGCCCTTTAAATTATTAAAATAGTTTTCGACAGCTCTCCGCTCTTTGGCAAGGGGACTTTTTATTACTTATTGTAATTTGAAGCTCTGCCATGTTCTCGCTCTCTCCCTCTCCTTTATCTCCTCCCCTGTATGGGAACAGGCAAGAGATCTTGTTTTCTATTGCTGCCCTAAAAAAAAAAAAAAAGAGGGGGTGGATTAGATAAGGTTAACTACCCTAATTCGGATTGCGATCTGGAATGAGTATGCGAGGGGAAGGGGGGGCAGGAATCTGCCGTAAACCTCTTAAATCAATGAAGATCCACGTCCCACGATCTCGCGAACCCCCTCACCCCACCTTGACTGTATTAATTTCATCCACGTGAATATAATATTCATTAAACTAATCCTGTTTCAACCCGGCGCTGTGACTTAGAGGTGAAACGTTGCGAAAGCGTTAAAAATAGCTTGCCAGTCATTTCGACATCCTGTAATTTTATCGCGGATCAGATTACAACTGTCATACTGTACAGACCTTTATTTCCCCGTATAGTACATCATGCTTATTTCTCCCCCCCCTTTCTTTTTTTCCTTTTTTTTTTTTTTTTTGGTGCCAACGGTGTAAAATCTGGAGAGAGAGGAATGCACCATTTTCTATCAACACTGCGATGTGGGGGGGGGACGCCTCCCTTCTATAGGCTGCTGGTGGGAAATCAGAGATCGCTGCTGCTGGTGGTGTGTTTTTTTGCTTAGGTTTTTTTTTTAAAATTTTTGGCTATTTGATTGCATTCGCTAGCCCGGGTCTCTATCCCACGTTCCACCCCACCCCACGCACCCTGGTTCTGTGGCTCCCAAGTTTCCTTTTAGGGACGCTGCTTTGCAGAGCTCCGGAACAATCAAGCAAATAAATACCTCTATTACAAGCAGCTGATTGTCTTATGGTTGTGTGTGTGTGTGTGTGTGTTCCCTCCCCGAGCCCCGGCTCCTAGTTTTAATTTCGGGATACATGGAACGAGTTTCCAAATGGTTGGCCCTCCCTCCTTCTCTCCCTCGAACTATTACTGAGAGAGAGGGGGGGGGGGAATCTGCATTCTCTGCCACTTTAAAACTCCGTATTCCCGTATCGCTTGGTTATATAAACACATTAGTATTTGAGCGCCCTTGCCCGAGATCTGCATTGTAAACACGTAACTGGGATGCGAGTGTGTGCGTGTACTTCGAAAATCGGAAGAATGTACACACGCCGATCAGGCGGAGCCCCGGGCCGAGCGGTCCCCACATATTGATTTATCATGCCGCGTTTATTGTTCTGTCCTCTTAATAAATGCAATCATAGCTCGCTGCCTGCTCAATATTGCTCGCAAGATCCCGTGATCGGGGGTGCTTCTGGGAGCCTTCGCTCACCGCTCCTCCTCCTCCCCCCCTTTCAAACCCTCTCTTTTGCAAAAGAGAACAAATGCATTAATATTTATATGTTTATATAATCGATAACCCACTTTCTCCCCCCAGCTCTCGCTCTCTCGCCCCCGTCCCCACGTTAAAATACTAGCACCAGGCATCTATTCTAACACCGATCTGGAGTTTCTTGGGGTGGGGTGGGGGGAATATGGCAGTACGGGAACGTAATCTAACTATCAAACAAATCTACATGTCTAATAAAAGCAAATCTGTTAAAGAGAATTAGAAAGAAGAACAGCGCCTCTGACTCTCTGCAGGAAATGTTCTTTATATTAGACATATACAAGCAGGTCCTGTCAGATGAGCAGCTCAACTAGACCGCCTTTCCGCCCGGCAAAAATGGAACGGTCCTTTTGTCTGGCACTTCGGGGGCTCCGGGGGAATACCATCCTGTTTCTGCAGAGATTCGGGCGCTGCAAGATTTTTAAAAGCGCCCGAGACCCCGAATTTGCCTGGACCCATTGGCTTCTGAGCTGCGGTTTGGGTTATGCATTGACCGGTATTACCTGTGCAGATCGGTAGCAGCCGGGCTATAAGCCCCTTGTTTTCTACGTGGTTTGGAAATTGGGGGTCGTGACCATCTCTCGGCGGGATTTTTGGATATTTTGGGCGAACCGGGGGTGTAAGGTTTGCGTTTTATATTGAGGCTCGGAGCCGGCAGCTGCGAAAGATCGCTTTTCCCTGCCAGGACCTGATGCAATCCATTCAAGCCAACAAGTTTGGAGAGAATGTTGAGTTCAATCAATTCAGAACGTCGAGATGGAGCCCAATTCAGTTCAGGTATTCGGTTCTCCTCTCTTCTTCGCCTCTACACCCCAGATCCCGGCACCCCGGATCCCCTAGACACCCACCTTCACCTCCCCCAAACTTTCCAAGAACTTTTCCCCTGTAATTACCATTCCACCCCCTCTTTTTTAAAAAAAAAAGCCTTTGCTGATCATATAGACTGAGACACACAGATTATTATAATGGTGACTGTGATCGGATTTTTTGCCCCCTTCGGAGGAAAACCAGCCTGGCTCCTCAACAAATCCCCTCCTCATCTTAGAGGTTGTGATATTATTTCTTAGCATGTGTTTGATTTATGAATGTCTTTCTCCAGTATGTTCTGATCAGAACTGGCTCTCTCTCTCTCTGTGTGTGTGTGTTTTAAATGAATTGATCTGCAATTGCTGATTATTATTATTTTTCTCTCTCTCCTCCCCCCCCCCAATCCTCCTCCACCCCTTGTTTATTCCTTCCAGTGGGTCGGATCTCCGTGTGGTTTACACGGACCGTACATTTTCTACAAGGCTTTTCAGTTCCACCTTGAAGGCAGACCAAGAATTTTGTCCCTTGGCGATTTTTTCTTTGTAAGATGTAAGCCAGAGGATCCGATTTGCATAGCGGAGCTACAGCTGCTGTGGGAAGAAAGGAGTTCCAGGCAACTTTTATCCAGCTCCAAACTTTATTTTCTACCAGAAGATACTCCCCAAGGCAGAAACAGTGACCATGGCGAGGTAGTAAACATACGTTTCTCTCTTCTCTCGGTGTGTGTGTGTGGTGTGTGTGTGTGCCTGTGTCATTGTGTGTGTGTCTCTCTCTGTGTTCTCTTTTCCGCCTCCCCCCTCCCTTGCTTGTAATGTTTATTAAAGGACAGGGTTGAAATGTTCCTTTCTGCCGGCAACGTGAGCTTCTGGGTTTTTTTTAAGGGATTGTGCCATTAAGGAAGGGCTGCAGCGGGTGGCTGCTGCCAGACTTTGCTTGTCATCTGTAGAAAGGAGGACTGCGCAGAATGTTCATATTTTAAAGCAAGCAGCCCAATAACTTGGTTGCCTCTGTGTTGAAGGTGATCTTTACTTACATCACCTCCTCCTCCTCCTCCCCCCTTCCTCTAACGCTGCTGTCGAAGCGTCCTCGTCACATGCTTGCTGATTCCCCTTCGTTACTTGTATTTGGGGGTGTCTACACCTCCCCCCCCCCGCAAAGTGAATTTAAACATTGTACACCTCGGAAGGGTTTCGTTCCTCCCCCTCCCCCCTTCTTCTTTTTTAGGGTGTGTATGTGTGGGTTTGGTGTGTGTTTTTTGGTCTTCAAGTATTTTTGATATGTTGGAAAGAAGGCGGAAATTACGAAATGGAGGCAGCGAGTGAGATCAAAAGCGATTTCGCTGGCAAAGACGTGTTGAATAAAGTGATAAATGACAGGTACTGGAAATAATACATTCAAATAACTTGCAGAGCTGCCTGGGCGGATTTCAAAGCGCTCCGGTGTGCAGTAACCAGCACAAACACGTTAAGCATTAACAGCGAGCCTCGCTTTGCTTTCCCCGGTCATGATTGTTATTATTCCTGCCTCAATGTACTGGCTTAACACAATTACTATAAAAAGTGGACATTTTCCAGAAAAAGCGTGGCGCGGGGTAGGAGTACGGTGGGGGGGGGGGGAGAGTACAGATGTGTGAATGAGGCTTCTCTCGTAAGGCTGAGATCCCCACGCACGTTTCCTTGGAAGCCCCATTGAACACAGTTGAACTTACTTCCGTGTAAACTCGGGCTGCGCGGGACTTGCTTCCAAGCCAACCACGCCGGGATCAGGCACCCTTGGGGGTGGGGTGGGGGTTGCAGCCCCTTCCCCAGACTAGCTTGGGTGCAAGATCGCGGACTTACTTTCAAGTAAGCAGAGGTGTGTGTGTTTCGGGGACTGGCTTTGGTTTTGCGCGTGTGGACTACCTTGTCAGGCTGCAGCCAATAAACTTTGAGACCCGAGAAAGTGCCCGGGTGCAGTCCAAAAGGGAAAACGGAGACGGGGGGGGGGAGTGGAGACGTTCCGATCGCCTGCGGGAGGCGGATCGGGAGAGCGAGCGAGGGAGGGAGGCGGCGGCGCTGCTGGCTCGCATTCACACTGTATTCTTCCAGATCTGTAATTTCATGTATGCCCGCAATTCCGCTGGCTACTCGAGTCAGCTGACTCTGCGCTGTGTTCCTGAGGAGGAACTATTTTAAGGGCCGGCGAAGAGCGGCGCTGTGTTTATGCGGAGAGAGAGAGAGAGAGAGAGAGAGGTGGGAGCATTTGCAAAGGCGCATCATCATCAGAATAATAACAATAGCCAGATGTGAGGCTCCTTGCAGGCGCGCGGGGGGGGGTGAGGGGCAACAACCGGCCGAGCCGGCCTGCTTGCTTGCAGCTCTTGCCTCACGTCCACGATGCTGACCCCCCCAACCCACGTCGCCGCCGCCGCCGCCCTCCTTTACAAGCCGAGCTGCCAGTTCCTTCAACAATCGATAGTCTGATGGAGTTAATTGTACTTCCACTCCCCCCCCCCCTTAAAGCCTCTCCTCTCTCCCCCATAGCAGCTCCGCGATCGAGACTCCTTTTGGATTATGCCTTCTATGTGAGGAGCCACGTTAGGACCATTTAACATTCCCCCCCCCCCCAGCCCACAGAGTGCTTTAGTCCTGTACTCTAAATGTGCAGTTTTTGATTGATCGGAACCCCCCCCCTCCTCCCCCCCACGCCCTTTCTTGAATTGACATTTTGGAATATGGAAAAGTTGTTGGAGGGGCAAGAATGGTTAGGACTCCAGAAACCCTGTCCAGGTTGACCCCCCTTTGCAGACATCTCATGGCTCCCCCCCCCCCACCCTTCAACTTTCCCCTGCAGCTGTCTCTCCTCCCCCCTCCTCTTTTCACTAGTACTTATTATTTGCTTTTCAAATTTATTACTTCAACATGGTCTGTGATCTGGAAAGGGGAAGGATTAAATATCCTCTCTCTCTCTCTCTCTCTCTCTCTCTCACCCTCCCCACTTCCCCTTGAAAAGACTACAAGAATAATAGGCCACTAAACCAGACAGGAAACCATTGGAAATGTTATTGAATTGTTTTAAATTTAACACATCTATTGAAAACTTAGAAATATTTATACACAGGCATTTGAGTGCCGGCCTGATTCCGAAGTAAGTGCCACTTGGTTCGGTGAGGAACTGCAGGGCAATTCTGCACATATTCTCAGAAATTAATCCGTCTGGGTTCAGTTGGGCACAAGCACAATTTGGACTACAGGCTGTTCTTTATGAATTGCTGAATAACCCCCTTTTTTCAGTGGGCTGAATCCAGGTGTAGGCTGCAGCCCTAACCCCACTTACTTGGGGTTAAGTTCCATTGAATTCAGCAGAACTTACTTCTGAGTAAACCATGTTGGGACTTAGTCATGCTTACAGTACAATGGGGGGGGGTTAAGTGACTCATGAGAAATTGTGTGTCCCATTGTTTCCAGTGAGTCTAAGCCAAACTGAGTCTGGAGTCAACTCAGTAAGACTGTCCTTTTCAACACATAACTTGAGGAATGTAGTCTATACCAGTAACTTTCCAAAGGATAATAGGGGCACACTCCTAGGCAGACATACTTAGGAGTAAGCAGTATTGAGAGGTGTAAATGTGTGTATAACAGGGCTGTGTGACTGAAAGGATTAAAAAATGTATTTTGAGATCTTGTTCAGTGAATACACACACACAGAGAGAGTATATATGGAAGGGTTTGGGAAGGGTGGGGGATGGGCCACAAATCATTTTAATATGCCTTAATGACCATCTCATGTTACTGTGGTATGAACATCAGAGGAAATTAATCCGACCATTACAAGCCAGAGTCTTCTTTTGATTCAGGGATTCTCATCTGCATCTGCGTTCCTAATATTATGCATGATTTCAGTTGGTGTTTTTTTTTTTAAAAAAATAAGTAAATGCAAACTGCTAGCAATTAGCTGTATGATTATACCGGGTATATTTCATTAGGGGCCCTTGACTGAGGCGTCTCTGAATTATTCAGCCGTATAAGAAAATCATTTTTTATGGAGATAATAACACACCTTGAGATGATGCATGCAAATGCCTCGCATGGAATGCTTACGACTTGTATGTGAAGCAGGTATAGAAAATTTTCCTGATGTGGTTCTGTTTTACACCCCAGTGATGTAATTTTTCCCCGCTGGCCTCAGTTAGTCATTCATTAGCAGAGTAGCAGCAGCAGCAGCAGCAGCAGCAGCAACTGCACACACTGATACTTGTTTGGCAAGGAGCCTATAGAAACGTGTACTTAGAGCCAAGGCCTAGAGAGGGCAACATAACACTCCCATTAAGAACTGTACTTTGTTTTCACTTACTCTATTAACTTGTTTATAGACACCGAAATGATTTTTTTTATTTAAAAAAATCATTTATTTTAAATTGTTTTAGATGATAAAATTCCGTTCGTGAATGTTCAGCAGAGACAACTACGAAAAAGGGGGGGAAAAAGCTTGCTGATTGGCAGTTTCTTTCTTAAGGGAAACATTTCAGCATTCTTTCTCGGTACAGAGAGCAGTTATTTCAAGTAACTTAACCACAGTAATAATTCTTTTATGTAAATGACATCAACAGCTATTTCTGAAGCTGAGAGATGAGGCCGTTTTTAACAAAGTCTCATGTAACCCTTTGTACGTCTGCGTCCTGGACATGGAAGAATTGCACTTGGTATAATTTAGAGAGAAAGCAACAGACAGGGCTTAGGGAAAGAACTATGTGGCAAAATATAATTATATGTTAAGCACAGTAGATAAAATGTGGTTGAGCTCCCCCCCCCCCCCGCTTTTCATTATGTGGATTGTAAATCTATGGTGTCAGCGGGTTTTTTGTGAGGTCAAAGGTCAACAGAGGCACTTGCTCTGAGCAAAACCAATGTTTAGCAGAGCGCTGGATCTTATCACAGCTCTTTGGAGACTGAATGATAGTCACGTGTGTGCATGCATGTGTATTGCATGCCTGATGAGAACTGCAAGTGGTTATTTATAAATTTATCAGATTGGTAATATCCAAGCTGCATCTGTTTTATAGGATGAGGTTGCAAAGTGTGTGTGTATCCAGACTACTTTGTGCTATTCATTTACAGAAAGCAGTTCTGAAGAGAACAGTGTCTGTCAATCTCACATGTGGGTTGTGAAAGGCACGTGGTTTTTCTGTTCTGTCGTGTGTGCATGGTGAAATAGATGTGCACTTTTTTTTTTACCGTACAGGACAAAACTGCAGTGGGGTTTGGGTAGGAAATGGCATGCTGTGTGAACTGCCCCCCTGACAGCCAGATCACATGCTTGTTTACTGAGAAATAAATTCCCCTAAGTTCAGTAGGACAGAAATCGTAGTGTGTACTGTACACATAGGCTTGTACCCCGATCCTGTGCATATTTACTCAGATGTAAGTTTCCAGTGTGTACAATGTGGCCTGTTTCCAGATAATTACGTGTAGCCTTGTAGCCTTAGTACGTTGCTTTTGATGACATGTTTCAATGGACCGCTGTGTGTTTGGTTTGATTTGATCAGAGTTGGGTGCAAACACCAGCAACTCCTATTGTGCAATCCCTCTCATCTCTTCTGCATTTATAGGTAACCAATTTAACTTGCGAAGCTAGAAAAGGCTCAGGTCTAGCAAAAATATATTAAACTTTAAGGTATGAGAGTGGAAAGGGCCTAGCTACATATCACATG